GTTGTTAAGGGTATTGATTGCTTCGAATGTTTACTGTGATGGTGAGTTCAACAGTCCATCTGTGACAGGGGTTCTCAACTAGGCCTGGCTAGACCTATATCGCAGTAGGGGAAAAATGGTTCATTGAATAAACACTGAATACATTTTACACAACCTTGGCATTACCTTACAGACGCATGTGAATGCCTTATCTCGGTAGGAATAACTCGGGAGATCGCTCGGTTACAATTTGTTACTTTTTGTTAAATTTAACTTCACGTGTGAATCGGGTAAAAGAGAATTTCCTGTCCTACGTATTTATAACTTTCATTCATTCATTCTTTATTTTTCCTTACATTAAAATCAAAACAATTTGTACATACAGTAAAATAAAAACTATTAAACGTTGATGGAAATGTAATTAAATGTTATTCAGTTATGTAATTATTTAATATATTGTAATTATACTGACTGTCTTGATACGCTTCAGATGTATATACAGGTCTATAAAGAAAATACAATAGACATTGTATCTTTTGATGTAAACATATTGTACTACGTTCCTTGTTAATTTTCCTCTTCCAGAACACAAGAAAGACGAAACCAATATTATAAATGATACAAAGAACATCCCAACGTATATCATCTTGATTTCGTTTGGGATTCTATTGCTAATTCTGGTATCAATATTTATATATTTTTGCTGGAGAAGAATCCCAAGTCCGATAGGTAACTTATTAATCTTTTAAGCATTATATTGTCTTAATATTTACGTTTTGCTGGTAAATTTACATAAATTAATACATGGGTATACATAATTACTGTACCATTCATTGCAAGAATTATACATCATGTCAATATCATGGAAGTATAACCTCCATGTTCATATACATCATCATCATCATCATCATCATCATCATCATCATCATCATCATTATCATCATCATTATTGTTTAGGCCTATACTCATACGAATAGGTCTTTGTGGTCTAGTGGTATGGATACAATTTTTCACACAAAAGAACTTTTTTGTTGAAGGGCTATGCCTGATACTTTTATAACATCATTTTGTTCCTAATTTGAGTACTTCTATAATTATGTATCTGCTTCAAAATCTTCTTGCTCAGTTCAAGTCCACTACTACTAGAGATTTTTGTTCTGTAGCTAATTTGAATTCGATTTATAGTACCTAGACTATGGTCTAATTCAGTCTGTAATTTTTTTTATAGTGGTATTGCATTATCCGTAATAACATGTCTTTTGTTAATATTCAATTTAATATTCTCGTACAGAATCAGAAGAGAAGATGAAACCGGAGGCCGAACACTGTTTGGAAACAGATCCGATATTTAAGGACATTGAAATTTTGTTTGAGGAGCAGGTTGTATGGGATCAAAAGAAATTAATCGGGAAAGGCCGTTTTGGGAACGTGTTTCAGTGTCCGGTCTTCGATGTCCTTATAAGCAACGACTACAGTAACGTCGCAATCAAAACTCCCAAAGGTGCAATTACAAAAGAATAATGTCATTTTGTAATAATACCAATATGTATGCATTATAGCTAGAAAGTCACATGACTTATTGACATAATAATTTGTTTAAAGCAAGAAAATGGTTTCAGACTTTATATTCTACATATTGGTATTAGGCCTATGGACATTGCCTTAAATTTAGATTGACATACGGTACATTATTCTAGTTTTAACTGTTTTAATTTTAATGTTTACAATGTTGAGTTGTACAGATACAACAATATATATATAGGCCTATATATAGGCCTATGTGTATATGTATATATATATTCAATAAAACAACAGACGATGTGGTTAATATGTCGCAAAGAGCCGCCAGTGCGTACAGTGTATGATGAATCAATCTAAAGATTACCAGCTTGTTAACCAAATTATAAGATAGGCCTATGAATATAGGCATTTAATGTCATAAAGATGAGAAAATAAAATCTGCCATAAATATAGATGTACAATAATACTTCCGCTGAATTATAAATGAATTAGAATAATACATTAATACCCGTAGGTGCCATGGTCCCAAGTTTAAACATTATTCTTTCTTCTGAAGATTTCCTAGATGTATCAGTAGTGTTGCAAAGTTTGACTCCAGTAACTACAAAATCATTATCAACATTATGTCCTGTCTTAAAATGGGATGCTACTGGGCATCCAGGTAGTGCAAGTCTAATTGATCTTAAATGTTCCGTTATTCTATCAGCCAGTCGCCTTTTGGTTTCTCCAGTGTAAATCATATTGCATTTCTGGCAAACTGATACTGATACATATTACTATAATCTTGGTATTCAACACCGAAATTTGTCTTCACTCTCTGAGTTCAAGTCTGAACTTAAATATATGATTTATATATATATATGTATATATATATATATATATATACAGTATAATTATATATATTCAATAGTAGGCTTATATGTTAATAAGAAGGAAATCTGCTGAGGTTTATTGAAATGACACTTTTGCTATCACCCCTACCAATTTGATTTAGAACACGCTTCTGCAGCTGAAAAGGACGACTTAAAGAACGAAATAGAGATACTTATGCAGCTCAGAAATCACTTTAACATTATCGAATTAATTGCATGTCACACCAAGAAGGATCCGATCATGCTGATTACAGAGATTTTACCATACGGCTCCCTACAGCAGTTTTTACGAACCAGTTCAAAGGTATAGCTTTACATTCAATACATAGTTGGCTGATATTGATAGATGTAGTTAGGCCTACATAGTCCAGTCTGTGACAAATGAAACGATGACTTTTTATCTGTATAGATGCAAGAGCTAGGCGAATTCTGCGACCCAGTGTACAACATTGACAAACCAAGTACTCTGTACGATATGAGTAGACAAATTGCAAATGGAATGGTAAGCACAGCTGTAACAAAAGGACATTGAAAATGTTTCTAATGTTTATATTGCTGTAATAAAAGTATACTTAAGGTAGCCAGATCAATACTCTGCTACAGGCTATGGGAATCTGTAATTATAGTCTTTGATTATTCACTTCTTGTCGCACTCGATCTAAAATTCTATACCCCGTTACATTTTAACTTCTTCATGAGGCAATATAAAAGTTATGCTATTTTATGTATCATAAATGTATTTGATTTTTATTAACATGTTGCAAATATTCTATTGTAACTCACTGGGACACTTTATAAATAGTGGTACACTTTCCAGGAGGCCCCCGTATTACGGGCACACAATTTGGTCCCGAATTTGTCTCCCGTTAATGAGGGTTCTCTGTAATAAAATTACATATTCCTTTCCATAAGAGTTATGTGGCTGATATGAAGATAGTTCATGGTGATCTTGCGGCCCGCAACGTTTTAGTCGGACACGACCTTAACATGAAAATCGCAGATTTCGGTTTAGCGAAAGATGTTTACGAGACCGGTTACATGCGACTGGACGATGGTGAAATACCTGTAAAATGGTACAGCATTGAAACGATTTTGGGAAACATTGTCTCATCTAAAAGTGACATGTAAGTGAAACATTTAAATGTAGCTCAGGCTCCAATAAACCGACTTATGCAGAAAATAAGCCCAGGTCAAACTTCTTATTGACGTTAAAATATTAACCGGCGTCCGTTCAACACGTTTCTTTGACAGTACACCAACCACCCAGTTAAGAATTTTACGTTATAATATCGTTAATAATAACATTGCAAGTTGGCATTTAGCGTTTTTGAAGACCAATAAATACGTACTTACAGTAGTTAAACGTTGCTTCAATGTTTTGTTACTACGTATTTTCTGTCATAATCTGACCAAATTAACATGTTTTTGTATTTGCTGGGTAGATGGTCTTTTGGCGTCCTTCTATACGAGATTTTCTCCGATGGTCGATCGCCGTACCCGGGTGTTATTGTGCATACCTTGCCAGAGATGTTGAAAAAAGGATATAGGATGTCTAGGCCTGTCGATTGTCCTGTTATTGCGTAAGCCGTCATTTTGTACATAACCTCCATCTGTCTACACCCTTCTGGCTATTAATCCACTCATTCATCCATCTATCTATCTATCACCCATCCGCTGAGCAGAAAAATACACCCAGGTATTTAAAAATCACGTCATTTCACCTTTTGTTGCCACCTATCACTTAATCCTCTAGCCCCCACCATTTTACTTAACAGCTGTCCTATGCCAATATTCCAAGTACGCCACTGCACCTATGCCTATCTATCAAATCATCTATCCATCCACTTATATGTAATGTCTATTTATCCAGCCACCCTCCATCCATCTATTCATCCATTTATAGATTACACATAAAATCCTATTTTTAATATTATGCATTCATTTATAATGTTCCTTTTTTTCTGTTTCTTGAATGAGTTATTTAAAAAAAAAAAAATCAGTTTTACATTTTTTAAGTTAAAGATCTAGATACATTTTCATCGTTTGTTCTTTGTCTGTATGTACTGAGGGTCTCACTTGATCAGATCTGGCTGGATGGACCACCCTCACAAAACATTTTGAAATAAATCATAATAAATAATAAATAGTTAGCAATAAATAACCCTTGTCCTTTCTAAACAGGATTTTTTGCAAATGCAAATTCAATTACTGTCTTTTGTGTTATGATACAGATACAACCTTATGATGAAGTGCTGGGAAGAAGATCCGTCCAGTCGTCCATCATTCCATGATCTTTACAAAAGAATTGACTCAATTCTTGAAGACGTTACGTCACAAGGCAGTCCATATATGAGGTTTGAGAATACGCCTGATGGATATGCAAAAATGGTGATTGCAAATTACATATCATCATCATCCTTACATCCTTACCTATAATGTGCATAAATGTGTTATGAGTATTCGCACATCGTTGGTGGTCAATTATGTTCACTTGAGAAAATTAACGGATTTGAATAGCAATTTCAATATAATGTAATATAAAATGTGTTATCAATATGCATCAATTAACAGAGCAGAGACGTTATTCTATATGGTATCTTTTTTTTCAGATCATTGTGCCTGACAAGACGTATTCGAGCTCAGTTTACTCTTGAATAGAATAGACGAAAGTCGATCTTCAAGTGCAAGTGTAAATCCTATCTTACGAAAAAAGTTGTTTTCACGACAGTCACTTGATGAAAATAACTGCACTGGTGTTATGAAATCTGCAGAATAAAACTTAGATTTTAAGTACCAATGTAGTACAATAGATCATTCATCTTTTCTGCTGCTCGTCTTTGGAATGATCTTCCACAAGCTATTAAAGACACGGAGTCAATTGACATTTAAAAAAATGTCTAAAGCATCATCTTTTTACGACTTACTTTGCTCCTCTTGTTCAAACTTGAAAACTGATTGAATCCGCAAAATTCACTCTACTTTTTTATTGTTGGTAGGATAGGATAGTCAGATGCCACTTTCACTCGAGCTCCTGTAAGTTCTGTTCCAGCGAGCTCTCAATTATGGGAGCTTCAAAGTGCTGGAGAACGGAGCGGTGAAAAGGGTTCCTCGGCCTTTATTTTCTTTTTTGGTTACTGTTAGAATATTTTATGGAGTCATTCCTTTTTTTTCATGTTCTTTTATGTGGAAAGCGCTTAGAAGCATTGTTTTGCATTATGCGCTCTATAAGACTAACATTATTATTATTATTATTATTATTATTATTATTATTATTATTATTATTATTATTATTATTATGGATTCATTCCTTTTTTTTCATGTTCTTTTATGTGGAAAGCGCTTAGAAGCATTGTTTTGCATTATGCGCTCTATAAAACTAACATTATTATTATTATTATTATTATTATTATTATTATTATTATTATTATTATTATTATTATTATTATTATTATTAATAATGGCCTGATATTTCGATTTTTACCTAATTATCCAAATTTTCAATTTCTCAATTTTAAATATTTTCAATAATTTTAATAATACTGTAATTGTATTCCCTACGCAATTTTTATATATTTGTCTTTGTCTCTCCCCCCCCCTTTCCTTTTTTTTTTGCCCCTCCCCCCCCCCCCCCCCCCCCCCCCACATTGTCGTTTATTTTAAGAACGTGATCCTGGGGATTTTTCTTTATGTTTCCCTTTAATCAATGTTTGTAATGTGTTTTTCTTTGTTTGTTTATTTTTTTTGTAATAAAAGTGACTTTAAATAATATATCCCGGAGCCCCATAAGGTCATTGTTCTCTGGCTTTCAAATGTGTTACGCCACTGTAGACCTTTCCAGTGTGTCGATCAAACTTAATAACTGACCAATCAGAACGCGCCTAGGAATACGCGTCTGGTCTCACAAACGCACGTGTTTGCGTATGTTTTACCATGGAGGTATTATTCTCAATAATACCTCCATGGTTTTACACTGTCGTTTTGTGGCCATGGGACCTTAACAACAATTTCTAAGGGGAGGAGCTTACCGGAAGGGTACATGAGAGAAAAACGGTCTGTTTTCGGTTTACAAAAACGAAAATTAGTTACATCCATTTTCCTATTTGCACACATTTAAATGTATCGTTACACCATCGACTTCACTCTGAAGGCAACTCTTTTAAATTCAATATCCAAGTTTATTATTGTAAGTATACTGCCTAATTTGGATATATTTATTAGGCCTACTGCTGCTGTATCCTTAAATGATATTAACACACCATTCGATGAGTTAATGTAGTTCAAAACACGATCATAAGACTTCAACTGAATCTAACGGGCATTTGTTACTAGACGTCGTCAGCCAATCCTCAATACACTTCGTATGATACATGTGTTCACACGGCAATACTTTCAAGACATCTCCATTAACATAGTTGTCCATACAAATAAGACAGTAGCGACCTTCTTGATCAGACCCAACTTCCAAAGTCTTCAGAGAACGTATTGCTTTCGAGGTGGCCACCTTAGGCTTTACTGTCTCGTCGAGCCTCAGAAGAAGTTCATAATCTTCCGGGCTAAGTTCCCTGAATTGTAATTGCATCATTAATTCTAACATACGGCTGCTGTCCTGTCGTATTTTTTCCTCTAACTGTTTAGCATCGGAGATGTTCTTCTGGACCACGGCGATATCATGATTCATTTGTTCGTCTAAGCTTTTCTTCATAACATCTTCCATGTCTACTTTAAATAACAATTCCATATCCTCTGCTGTCAAATCCCTGTATTGCAAATCAATTAATGTTCTCGTTTGAGTATCAACTACATTTGAAATATTTCCTTCGTGTAGTGCATAATCTGGAAATTCTAGTTGTTTGTTGGGGATTGCACCTTTATCTTTGAAATGTGTTTTCTTCCTTGGTTCTTTTTTAATTTTTTTTACTGGAGCATTTGTTTTCTTCACAATCCTTCGTGGCTCTTTTCTTCTCTTTTCCTCTTCGTCAAATTTAATCCTCTTTGGATGGTAGACTGAACTATTCTCTGACTCTAGAGGGCGACATACACCCTTTAACTTGATCCCCATATTTTTTATTTTATTTGCTACGTTGTTTTTATGTGCTGCAATGTTTTCATCAACACATTGATTTCGCACAGTCTGCCTAGTTACAAGTCTCTGTTTTATATTGTATGTTCTACCAGTAGCAAGGCTTACACACTTGTTTCGATGAAAGTGCTCGTCCCTTATCTGCGTGTGTACTTTTTGCAATTTCGTCTTTTTCGTTGACCTGCTCAATTTAAGTCTATTGAACCTTACTTTCAAATGAGGCTCAAAGTAATCAAAATAATGGTCCACGTCGGAGTAATCCAGATCATGACGACTTATTTTATCAGTTACACAATTCTTTGTGCTAGTAAAGGTTCCGTTCACTTCAAAACAATACAATCCATTCGCAGGCTTAAATTTTTTCTTTTTAGGTTTATTTTTGTCGGCGATATCATTTTTATGCAAAGAGATAATGTCTTGATTGTTGCTGTTTCCACTTAAGCCTAGTACAGTTTCAGTTTCACTCTGCGTATGAAAATTTGCTTCCTTGTTGATGTCCATGCTTTTAGTCCTAGTGGTAACTTTTTCAGTGTCCCGCCCCTCCCGGATATCTTCAGCCTCGAATTGACAAGCCACCATATTCAGTAGGCCTATGCTTGTAACTCTACCACTTACTCTAATATAAGAGAGTTGTTCGCCGCAACTCGTTAGCTCAAGTAAAGACACGTCAAATTATTGTGAATCCTTTTTTATAGACATTGTATTGCACAACTATAAGTAAGCAAGCTTATTTTGATGATGAAATGCTATTTTTAGAATTACGAGGTCATCAAACGCGCTTTTGATTGGTGACTGAGGCTTGTCGACCTGCATGAACTATAACCCGAGGAAATGGCCGATTCAGAAAATACACCGGTCGACTATAAAATAAATAGGAATAACTGGTTATTTGAACACCCAGTCGTAAGTGTAACTTTTTTTTTATTGCTTTATTCTACATTCTTTATCCTAATTTCATTTTGGAGGCCTCAGAATTCCTAAGCCTTAGGCTAGGCCAAGATAACTAGCCTAGGCCCACGGCTTCTAGCCAAAGGGGCCTTCGCCTAGGAACTAGGAGGCGACCTTCCTAGTACATCCGCATCTCACGTCCGCCGCCGAGTTAGCGGAGAATCATGTTGCTGCCTTGCCTACAGTAGCCTTGATATCGAGATCGAGAAAGCGAAAGTTGTGTGTCCCTTTGTTGATTTTTTTTTTTGTTTAGACTTCTTTTGTGTGAGTGGGGCAGACTTCAAACAGGAATTTTGATGTGTTTCTTTGAAGACTTTAAAATTTAGGGCTAGGCACCTAGGCTAGGCCTACATAGTTAGCTTTAAACAATTGGTTTACAGTTTCTGTCTCAATACCTGAAGATGGCAAGGCACCCTCCATTAATTTATTATTATTAATATAGTAGACCCCTCCTTTTTTGGGAAACCCTATTAAATTAAAGGCTAAAATAAGCTAAAAGTAAGAGACACTTTTTCGGAAGCAAAACTTAAACTTAGTAAAGTATCTTTGAACAGGACAGCCTGCCCCTATACTATTCAGGGGTCACCACTCTGGGCAGGTCTGGAAAAAATATTTTTGTGCCTCTGACCATGAAAATTATCTTGATCAAATGCTTCCAACACAAAATGTTATCTTACATTATTATAGCCAAACAGTAGTACATTTAGTGGTTTGGAGCAAGCATTTAAATTTTATTACCACCGGTATGCATTTGTAACAAAAAAAAAAAAATATATTTTTTTTTATAAATTCCTCTGGGGTAATGGTCAATGCTGTGGCGAATGCAGGATTTGGCGGTAGGGGGTTCGTGAGGGTCGACCTCACTGCTCCCACCATGGTTGGAGCTGAGGGAATAGAAAATTTTGGAAATACTGTAGGGACATCTCAGGCATTGATCCAGAGTTTTATCTCCGTTTCCAAGAATCGCTCACCTTATCACTGACAGTCGTGACAGTTGTGGTTCACAGACGAATCGGGGTGCCTTACCGATTTCGCAGGGCAGCTAGCAATGCACCCTGATTGGTCTGCAACGCGATCGGAAAAGTTGAACCAAGTTCAACCTTCCCGACAACTGTCGGCGACTGTCGCCGATAGTGTGAGCGATTATATGGAAACCGAGTTACCCTGACTATCGCACATAAGGGTCATGGGAAGAGAACGTAATGTTTGCTTGTTCCATCGTTGGAAGACTATTTTACACGTGAGGCGGTGGGTGGGGGGAGCATGGTTTGCGGTAGTCTTGGGGTTCCCTAGCTTTGGAAAGTTTTATTTTTTCTAGATGCTGAGAAATGCACTTACATGCATTATGAGACTTCTGTTGATGAGCGAATACAATAAAATTAATTAATAGATTTTCCCCATTTTAGCATGGACAATTAATAATTGCGATGATGATGATGATGATGATGATGATGGGATGATGATGATGATAATGATGATGATGATGTGATGATGATACTTAAGGAGATGAAGGCATTGTAGCAGGTGATGACAGGCTCCAATGCAAGGTTAATTAACAGGCCCTTTGATATGAGTGTCAACCGAGGCCTGTATCTTGAGTTTGTTGTCACCTTTTCAATGCACACAATCAGACAACAGTAATTATTTGTAAGTCATACAATATAAAATTATCAGTACATTCTCGACAGTCATGAAAATATCATAAACAATCTAAAAAATTATGTTATATGCATGCTCGGAAGCGGAAAGTGTAACCTAAAAGTTTGATATATGTTTCATGTTGTTTGTTGAATGGTCTTTAATGATATATTCTAATATGACCACAACATACAGTAAGGAAGAACACTTTGTCACCTACAAAGTTCAGACCAATTTACATTTATATTTCCTTAGGCCTAAATCATAAGGAAGTCCGCTGTCCAAATTTCAAGAAATATGCATGCACCGACGTGGGAATTTTGTTTTTTGTTGTTTGCTGAATGGTCTTCTTTAAAAATATTACAGTCTAATATGACCACAACATAAGGAAGTCCATTCTTTAAAAGTTTAATAGGTAGTACAGAGAATTGTTATTGTTTTTCAAAATCATTATACACCTGTTAAATCCAATTTAAACAAAAAAAAGATTAACCTAATAATCATTGTTAATAATGCGGTTCTAAAATTAATCTTATGACCACAACTTTTAAGTTGTAACTTTAGAAAAAATAGTAATGCATTTTTATTGTACGCCACCAGCTAGGAAAGTAATTAAATATGCATAAATGTCTTCTGTGATTAGTTGATTGCCAACATTTGAATGCTTAGTGGTTGGATGGTCGGAAATAATAATGCGTAACTCTCATAAGAATTTCATATTTCGAAAAATTGTTTGGAGTATATGATCACGTTTCATGATAGATTACTGTACATGCCACAAGGTGCCCCTAAGCCAAAATTGAATAAATTGTGTTTTTACGAATTACGACAGACTGACTAGATTAGGCCTACTAGTCATATTCAATACGTTATCTGACATCATGAGAACCTAAGCTTTATACAATTATTTGTTATATACTAGGCCTAATTCAAAATTATTATTTTATAAGACTTTAAACATAATAGGCTACATACTGATTAATAATAGATGAGATTTGATGCACATTTTAGAATTAATAATCGTTTTTATTATCTTCCTGAATATTTATTGTCTGCCAAATGAAATATGAATATGCATCTTTAGAAATACAATTTCTACAATATTAATCTTGTTTTCATATACTGTAGATAAATGTTTGATAAATTCTATCTTTCATAAAAAAAAAACCAAAATTCAGTGCGTCTATTTTCATTCTAATCAATGGCTTTTGTAAACGTGCACTGACGTCATCGTCGAATTCCAGGACTTTCAACGGTAAAGCTGGCCTGTCTGCCCCGGTCCCAGGCCAACCAATAATAATTAACAAAATGTTTTTTTTTTAAATATAGGCCTATGGCGCATTTTGTACGCACTTCAACTTTTACAACAAAAGCCTAGGCCTAGTACCTGTAGTACATCCTACTGTACTTAGGCCTACACTAGTTTGTTGTCGTTGGGATATTAATTCTGTCTCTAAATGAACGAACAGCGAATCTACAGTTAGCTAGTCAACATCTAGGCTAGGCTAATTGATTTTGAAATCAATAACCCTTCTTCTTTGCAACAGCAGACTAAAAAAAAGTCAGTTATTCTAGGACGTTTCATGATTCTTTATCAGTAAATAAATTAACAAACACTCGTTTTGACGCACTAGGTTCTGTAGTGTGTGTCTATCAAAACAAACTTCCTAGCCTAATTTTGTGAATGGCTATGATGACTTGAGATGGACCATGTTGATTTATTAATAATATTTTGTTTGGGATGGAAAAAAGGAGAGTCAATTTCCCCAAAATGCTCCAACAGCACATAGTTTAGTGTGCGCTATGGACAGTATGGCTATGGAATTTACTAACCACACAATCCACAATCAGGTGATTAAGTCGCAAAACTTTATCTGCATGTGGTGGATTAAGTCGCAAAACTTTAGCTTCGTTTGGTGGCACCATTTTCTCTAGGTAGATGGCGACCGGTTTCGTTAACGGCTGGTACATTTCTTACAAACATTCAGCCAAAGGCCAGTGAAAGCCAGGTTTTTATCGATGTTTGCCATTCTTATGTGTGCCATCATAAAGTCATGGTTTGCTGGAGTTGCATTCAATTTAAATCTCTGAACTTCTGAGCTGAGATATTCTATGAATGTAGGCTTGTATCGCAGGCTACAATTTAAAAACGGGTAACCAAATAATGAATTAGGTGCTAAATTTTGATTTAATGCTAGGTAAGTTAAAAACAGACATTCCTTCCAAGTGGGACTCATTCAAAAATTTGAGGGGGTTCCCTAGAAAGCAGGGGTTCGCTAGAAAAGGGGGATTCGCCCGAACCATAAAAACCCCCCCTGGCTACGGGCTTGATCTAAGTGTGTTCGTAAGTTTTAAGCTCTACTGTAGATCTACAATTAGGCTACCAACTCCATGAACGACTACGTAATCGCGCAGCCAATTTAATTACAGTCCCTCTTTGATTAATACAAATACTGTAGACATTGATGAATGAATACACACTGAATTAATAGATTTCCCCCATTTTAGCATGGACAATTAATCATTGCGATGATAAAGATGATGATGATGATGATGGGATGATGATAAGGAGGAGGAGGAGGAGGAGGCATCGTAGCAGTTGACGACAGGCTCCTGTGCAAGGTTAATTAACAGGCCCTTTGATATGAGTGTCAACCGAGGCCCGTATTCCGAGTCTGTTGTCACATTTTCAATACACACAATCAGGCAACAGTAATTATCTAAAAGTTATATAATCAGTACATTCTTGACTGTCATGAAAATATCAAATACAGTACGTATCTAAAAAATTACGTTATATGCATATGCTCAGAAGCGGAAAGTTTAACCTAAAAGTTTGATGTTTCATGTTTGTTGAATGGTCTTTAATGATGTATTTTAATATGACCACAACATATAGGAAGAACACATTGTCACCGACACATATACATATGGCCTAAATCATAAGGCAGTCCGCTCTACTGTACAGTGTATATCCAAATATGTTTTACTGTATGTTGTTTGCTGAATGGTCTTCTTTTTCTTTAAAAATATTACAGTCTAATATGACCACAACATAAAGAAGTCCATTCTGTACTGTAGCGCCAGCAGTAAACAATAATAATAATACGAATATGTGGGTTGAGCTGCAGTGGAGAGGGAATAATATGTCTGCTCATTGAATATTTTTCCTGCTATAATTTGGACTTAGGAAGCTGTCCACATATTTTGAATTACATACCCTGATCAGTTCATGGTATGCAAACAAGCTGTCTTCTTTTCTCTAATTTCAGTGGTTAGAAATAGAATCATTCAATTTCAAAAATTCAAATCAGCAACGTGTGTCCATGACAGTTTATCTTGACCTTTGTGAAGGTAAATATCATTTTATTTCTTCATTACCTGAAATATTATTTTCATAAAGCACAGATTATGCTAATTTAGAATTTAACAATCATTGCTGTAGTACTTTGAATAATGATGCACAGCCAGTGGTGACACCAGCAGGGGGCAAGGACTGCATTTTCTCCCCATTGGACAGGCCTGGGTCCCCATCGCCTGACGCCACAAAGACGTCGGAACAAAAATATTTGCCTATCCAATTGCCAATCCCTAATATTATCGTCTAAAAGCAAAATTTTATTAAGCTCTCCCTATAAACCCTACCAGGATTTTTTTATTCCGGGACCCTGATCGAGGCTCTAGTCGGCCCCTTGGTTCGGCTCTGCTGCCGGACACGTTGGACCCTTAGTAAATTTCTGGAGTCACAACCTTCAGCAGCTTATTACCACTATTCATCAGAGATTATCTGTCTCACCTCTACTAAAATTCAAATCAATTCTAATATTTTTATAATGTAAAAAGCGAAGAATAATTTAAAAGAAGTAAAGGTGGATTATCAAAGAATATTGCCTTGAAAGAATTTTAATTACTGTTAAGATAATAAGCAAATTAAAGAATAAGAAGACAACAGATTAAAGAATGAGAAGACAACACTGTCATCCGTGATGACATTTATTTGTGCATTTTAAAATATTTTTATACACAAAGAGTAACCAGTTATCAGTATGATTAAAATTGTTTTAATCATACTTATAGACATAAAAGAACTAATATGTAATAAAATCTATAAAAAATTGAAAAAGGGGCCATGAACGTTTGTTGGAAATAACCTCTAGTTTATGTGTACACAATTTCCTGCATATCTGTTCAAAACCAGCGATGTTGGATGCTTTTAAACTTCTGGTAACAACAAGAACAAGAACAAGAACCGCAGCATGGTTCTGGGGTCCACCAGATCCAAAAGTACAATAAGATAAAAATAGTTTAAAAGTGGAAGAGTCAAATCTGAGCCTATCTTGATCTAAAAATAAGTCATGCAGAGTTGATTAAAAAAAAATAATGTTACTGTATTTATTTGTTATGTTTTTCCTACCCTCACAGCTAAAGATTGGTGGTCTATGAAAGTACATGGGTGTAGTCAGTTGCAACTTGTTTATTTGAGTGGAAAAAGTCAACGAAAAGCACCTGTTGAATACATTTTACCTCTACCAGCAGACACAGAGCTAAGTCAAGAAAGGTAAACTTGTACTAAACACTCAGTTAGGCTGCATTCAAAGTAGAGTAGCACCCAAGCCTAGGGTGAGTTTATGTTTGGCTCGAAAGCAATTTCAAGCCAGGCGACATCCAACTCAGACTTTTTCAGACTATACAAATTTCAAGACTGATTGAAGCAAAACTTTGCTTTCTAGTCTGAGTCAGCCTTTACCAACCAACAAACAAAATATTAAATCAACCAATGAAACAATCAGCTAACCAGCCAACCAACCAATTGATCAATCAATCATTAATTAAGTTGATATTTGTTAAACCTTATCATATTGAAACAGATTATTTTTATCTAGACATCTAAAAGAAGGTCCATTCCTGAATCCTTTTTAGAAACATAAATGGCTTCTGTAGGAAAACTATAGCTTGATTCATTAAATACAGAAAAGTTTCTGTAGTCAAGATAATATAAATATTTATTTTAAATATTTCATAAAAGTTATAATTAAGAATATATAAAAAAAGGAGATAAAAAAACAAAATTGCCTGTTTAAGACGAAGAGTGGGTGCATGGAGAACCATAAAATCATCGAATGTTAGTTTATTTTCAATACACTATATGTGACTTTGTCAATTATTGAAGTAATGAGAACACGAGAATCGTAATGTCAAGTTTCTAGACCTAAATCTACATGCCTCTACGACTATAAACTCATAAATATACTCGAAAAGCAGAAAAAGAATCAAGCATAAAATCGGTGTGCAAAGCAAATGGGTTGAATAAATCGTAGAATGGATAATACATTATAGGTCATAAAATCCTACTTCATACATACTCTTCACATTTAGTAAAATATAAAATGGTACACTGAGAAAATGCAAACCTTTTGTGTCTGTAGATAATCTTACAAATTTATTATTTTATTGAAACATAGGTCTGTGAAGGATGTACTAATGTTATTGTTTATGGTTACTTCTACTTTTATTTAAATTATTCTTAAATAATTTTATATTCGTTTCTTATTATATAGACTGCAAGAATTTTTACACCACATTCCGGCTAATGTTGATCACAGCCACAGTAATGACCAGAAATCAGTCACCCTTGCAATAAGCGATTCTGATTCATCTACAGTCTACTACAAAGTGACCAATGGCATTGCTTTGCCAGATGATGTAATCGACACAGTTGCAAACATACCAATACCAACAGAGGTCGATATATTTTCAGAGAAAGAGTTATGATAAAAAAAATTGAGATTTTATTTTATTATTGCATTATTATTAACAGTGTAACTGGTGAATAATCTTATATCGTAACAGTTATTTCACCAACAACATTTTCTAACAGGTATTTTTAGTATTAACCAAATACACTCAACACCTGCATTACTACTGGGTACTGTAAAACTTTTTGCAAACTTTCTTTCTTTCTTTTCCGTTCTGCAAAGTCCCAGCCCTTTAATATTGTTGCTAAGGTTCCATAAAGGCCAACTCAGCTTTGTGCAACACAGCCTGACGCGATTCATCGATGGGGACAGTCTTAAGCCGTCGTGAGCAATATTAAACATGCTTAATATTCTATGACCCGACTGCCCCCCCACGCAGACCAACGCGTCTGCATTTAACTTACACAGACCCAATGTGAGAAACATCGTTGTACGACGCTGTCTGAGTTGGCCTTAAAATAACAATGTAATTTTAATTATTTGAGTGTGGGTTACTAATTGACTAGATTAAGCATACATCAATCACTGGAAAAAAATTATTCAATCACACTTCCCGTTTCTGTACTTTACTCACAACACTACAAGTCTACAAGTAAAAGATTTTTGACCTTTTTGAAAATTATGAATTTAACAGAAATCCCATAATATGGTAAGCCTTTTTCATTTTATATATAACCAAACATGTTGATTATGACTCATTTTGTGGGCCTATCATTGTTTATGGTTTGACATTTTAATAGTACAGTACCCATGCTAGGGTTATATTATAGTAGTGGGCCATTATTATGGATCAACTTTTAAGGTGGGTTTATTAGAGAATGGATGGGTTTCCTTCAGAAGTTTTTCAGTACCCATTTATACTCCTGAGTCGAGAGATAAATGTAGAACATGAATCAAATACAGTAACCTCCACTTGTAGACTGTCATGCTCTGAGCATGGTACCTCCATGCTCAGAGATCTATAAGAGCAATACAATTGAATAATTAAAATGACATTTGAACCTTGACCTTATATTGAGAGTCTGAAATGTTGAAAGTTTCATTACAGTTATTTTCCATCAAACTGATTTTATTTTTGTATTTTAAAGAAGACCTGGATTTAGTGTAGCAAAAATTATAGAGTGCTATGGATGATCAGGTTTCCCAGTAGAAAAATAGAAGAACATTTTACAGTACTTTCAAAAGGTGCTGCAAAACATACCGGTACATCTTGATGCAATATTTTTTGTAATATATTATATTTTTTAAAACTTTTGATGAGTTTGATTGTGAAAGTTGCAATAAACATTCTCAATGATTTGCAAATCAGATGGTTATTTTTTATTAAAGTAATTGAATCTTTTATGTAATTACACAAACCCAGGCTTGAGATGTGTTTGTCTAACTTCATTTTCTCAACGATTGAAATTGGCCTCCAAAATATCATGCGAAGACCACCATACATACTGGTGTCAAATCAGTAAAATGTATTTTCCATGAAAAATCACAAACTTTCAGATTCCAAAATCATTTTTAATAACGTCAAATGTAGATCATAACAAAAGTAACCAAAGGGTCAATGCTGGTTAGACGTAGTTCTCACCTAAAAAAAATTACAATACAAAAGACAACCAATCAATACCATACATTCTAATAGTATAAATGTTAATTTTTAATAGCCATTTTTATGCATAATTTAGAGTATTCGCCATTGATGCCTTGAATACTTAAATTAAATTCGAAGTGGAATTGAATTTTTAATAATATTTTCAGAAAGATTTGACAAATAGGAAGTACAATAGGCCTGTAGAGACCATTAGCCCCCCCCCCTTTTTTTATTTTTTTATGGCATATTCAATTTTAATAAAGATGTCTCCAAAGCAAAGAAGATGACTTATTTTCAGTGGGGTAAGAATTAAATATATCATCAATATCAAGTTTGGCCAGCAACGCCAAAAAATACAGTACCGTAAATCCTCGAATAAGTGCTATGCTAAATTACTTGGCATCAACCTTCTTCATAACTTATCATTTGAAACGCATTTTGATTCTAATGTTAAGCGCTGCGCACCAAGGCTGTATTTCCTAAAGCAGCTCAAACAATCTGGACTAGAAGAAATAGAGCTTCGGTATTACTTGGCAGTGATAAGCTCAGTCTGAGCAAATTGAAAGCATCCATAAAAGAGCTTGCAACATCATATGTCCTGGTGTCTTTTTTTTTTTTTTATAGAGTGCACTTGCAAACAGGGGCCACACACCGGTTACGAAAAACGCACCCAATGGGCCAATCAATGGGTCGCTGCAACCAAAAAAGAAAAAAAATAAAAAACAATTCAAAAAGTAAGCAAAGAAAAAAGAGAGGTTTTTAGAAAGCTTAGGTTTTTGATTTTTTGGTGTTTTATTATTTATTTATTTATTTATTTTTTATATATTTTAATTTTTATCTTACCGCGATCACGAGCCCTATGCTTGGCATTATAGGTTAGGCTCTGTCTCTTATACACATCTAGATGTGTATAAGAGACAGGTGCTATGGATGATCAGGTTTCCCAGTAGAAAAATAGAAGAACATTTTACAGTACTTTCAAAAGGTGCTGCAAAACATACCGGTACATCTTGATGCAATATTTTTTGTAATATATTATATTTTTTAAAACTTTTGATGAGTTTGATTGTGAAAGTTGCAATAAACATTCTCAATGATTTGCAAATCAGATGGTTATTTTTTATTAAAGTAATTGAATCTTTTATGTAATTACACAAACCCAGGCTTGAGATGTGTTTGTCTAACTTCATTTTCTCAACGATTGAAATTGGCCTCCAAAATATCATGCGAAGACCACCATACATACTGGTGTCAAATCAGTAAAATGTATTTTCCATGAAAAATCACAAACTTTCAGATTCCAAAATCATTTTTAATAACGTCAAATGTAGATCATAACAAAAGTAACCAAAGGGTCAATGCTGGTTAGACGTAGTTCTCACCTAAAAAAAATTACAATACAAAAGACAACCAATCAATACCATACATTCTAATAGTATAAATGTTAATTTTGAATAGCCATTTTTATGAATAATTTAGAGTATTCGCCATTGATGCCTTGAATACTTAATAATGAATATCGAAGTGGAATTGAATTTTTAATAATATTTTCAGAAAGGTTTGACAAATAGGAAGTACAATAGGCCTGTAGAGACCATTAGGCCCCCCCCCCCTTTTTTTTTTAATGCTTTTTTGGTTTTTTATTATTTATTTATTTATTTTTTATATATTTTAATTTTTATCTTAAATGTGAGGTTTGAGGTACTGTAGGTGTTTGTGTGCTCTGCACTTGAAGTTCTGTATTGCCACCATTGCAATATTCCCCACTACACTGTCTGGAAGAGAGTTCCAAATCGGGACTGAAGAGTGTCAAGCATTCTGGTTTTAGAGTTTGGCAGACATGACTGGGCATCCTGTGCTTTTACGCGTAGAACTATGGGGTGCCATACGCAGCAAAAGTCATGTTAAAATCAAAATGTGATTGCAAAATTCAATGTCTAATTTATCAAAATGTAGGCGTAAATTTCTCAAAACGTAGATCTAGTTTCCCAAAATGAAGTTCAAATTTTTCAAAATGTAGTTCTAATTTCTTTAAAATGTAATTCAAATTCAAAACGTAGGTCTGACTTGATCAAACACCCTCTCCAAATTCTATTCCAAAACGTAAATCAAAAACCAGCCTGGTTATGAAATGCATTTGACAACAACACTAGAAACGGACTTTTGCTGCGTAGACTTGCGAAATGTAAATCAAAACTAATCAGCCAAGCATGACGTGGGCCTGTCCCATTAATGATGGGGGAATCATTTTTCGCTACAGTCCAATGCCGTGAAAAACGCTTCCCAGTGCGTCTGCTAATTTTTAATGGTCAGGATACCGCGATCACGAGCCCTATGCTTGGCATTATAGGTTAGGCTTATGTGGGCTGGGATTTGCAACAAGGTCTTGGACTAGGCCTCTATACTATAGTATACTATAATTTGTATATCGTCAGTATGATGTGACCACCTGATGAAGGGCGATGCCCGAAAACGTAAGAGATATACAAATTACTGGTGTTAGTTTATGTAAAGGATCTGATTTCTCTAGGAAAGAATTAGAACAGAGAATCAGCTATAAATTAGGTACGTTACATCCTGCTGGCATTAATGTTAGTTTCACAGCTTTTAGATTATGATTGTTATTTACAGCAGATTTTTTTTTTTATTATAGGCCTATATTTATATATATTTTATTTCATGTATTTTGCTATATTCCATCCGTATACAGAATAGGCTTCCTATCTGTATGACTCATTTTGATGGCTTTTGTTTTAGATCTGATTCCAATTAAATAAAATTATACAAACTGCTTTTGGTTCAATGTCGTAATAATGTATTTACGAAAGTGCGTTCTACGCAATATTGTTGGAATATAATACTATATTGCTTATGTCTTTGATTTTTTTTTCTCTATATAATAGCCTAAAGAATGAGATAAAATTACCTGATCTTTTTCAAGAGGAGAAAACCTTGAATTTTGAAGAACTTAAAGGTCATTAAAAACTCCTCAGAAGTCGGAAAGCTCATTTCCGGCCATCTAGGAACTTCCCAGGCTGTCTCTTATACACATCTAGATGTGTATAAGAGACAGGTTGAACACTTCATTTATTTTCGAAAGATATTTTCGGCCGGTCCTCTGGCCTTCATCAGCTTTACTGAATGTTCAAGTAAATGTACATTCAGTAAAGCTGATGAAGGCCAGAGGACTGGTCGAAAATTTCTTTCGAAAATAAATGAAGTGTTCTACAGTCTACATGCATTGTTGTCATATTTTTTTTGTTTCAACGACTTATAAATATATATGTATATATATATATATGTATATATATAAATATAAATCAAGATAGCTGTTAACACTGTTAAATTATATATAAATCATCAAAGAAATGTAAATACAGTGTTCGAATAAAGGACATAATAATACATCGAATACAACGAATGTAGTCCTGTAAATAAATGAATAAAGAAATTGTGTAATAAAATGCCTCTGGCGGGACTCGAACCCGATGTATTATTATGTCCTTTATTCGAACACTGTAATAATAATTTATTAGGAACTACACTTTTCAATCAGTGGCACACTTCTCAATCAAGGTGCGTCCAAAACAAAATGTACAGTAAAGTTCACAAAAAAGATTATGCTAAGAAAAAGACAATTCAAATTTTCAAAAGGGACATTAAAGAAAAGTAAAAAAAAAAAAAACTGTTCAGCCATATAAAATTAAAAGCAATCTTAAACTAAAAAAAAACTTAAGGCAAAATAAAGTGATGCAAACAATCACATGAACAATTATACAAACACTATACAAACGTACATGAAATACACATACAGTACATAAGTACATATATCCAAACACAACTGTATACCCAGTCACATGACTGTACTGTACTCACAATTATAAACAACAATACAAAGAAATACAGTACATACTGAACTCTATACTACACCACTTATCACACAAGAAGCACACAGATCAGGCCAGATAACACAAAAAGCATATAAAAGTAAATCAAAAGTCATAAAGTAATACAGGACTAAAATCAAAAACGTTCGTTTTTTTTTTTGATCTTTTATTTACCTTTCTTTGATGATTTATATATAATTTAGTGGCCTTTGGAGCAAATTTTAAGAATAGGCCCCTCTTAACGCTCGGAAATGGCACTCTCGGAAGGTAAAAATGCTTTTTCAAAGCAGTGTTTCTCGACAAAATTATTGACTTCCTCCCGACGGCAGTTATGCTCCCTCGTATGCTCCTCC